TATCTGTCATTCTATCTCTCTCTCTCTCTCTCTCCTTTTCCTTGTCTCCGTCTACACGCCATTCTCTCCCTCTTCCCCCCCCACCCCTACCCCCCACCCCGTTCCTCCTCCTCCTCCTCCTCCTCCTCCTAAGTAAACACAGCTATGGCGTAGTAAACATAGGCTCCCCCCTCCCTCCCCTCCCCCCACCCCACCCCCCAGCCCCTTGTGTCAGGGCGTCACTCATAATTACGCACGCACGCACGCACCTACTCTCATTTTTAAAACGCGCCACCTACGCACGCTGTCAGTTGCGCATGTTGCTGCGTCACTGTTCTACTCTGCTCCCCCTTCCCCTTCTCCTTCCTGCTATCCCTCCCTTTCCTCTTCTTCCTCTTCCTCTTCCTCTACTTTATCATCATCATTATCTTCCCCTTCCTCTTTCTTCCTTCTCCCCTTACCCTCCCTCCTCCTCCTCCTCCTCCTCCTCCTCCCCTTACCCTCCCTCCTCTTCCTCCTCCTCCCTTTACCTCCCTCCTCCTCCTCCTCTTCACCCCACCCCCTCCTCTTACCCTCCCCACCCCTCCCCCTCCTCCCCTTCCCCCCCTCCTTCTCCACCCTTTTCCTTCCCTTATCCCCATCCCCCCTCCTCCCTCCTCCTCCTCTTCACCCCGTCCCCTTCCCTCCCCCCCTTACCTCCCCCCCCTCCTTCTCCACCCTTTTCCTTCCCTTATCCCCATCCCCCTCCTCCTCCTCCTCCTCTTCACCCCATCCCCTCCCCTCCCCCCCTCCCCTCCCCTTACCCCCTTACCTCCCCCCCTCCTTCTCCACTCTTTTCCTTCCCTTTATACTACAGTCAGCCGGCGTATGAATGCGAAGCTCACATCCCTAGATAATTTACGCTCGCTCCCTTACTGTGCGTACGCAACACAGCGTGTACAAGAGAAGGGAGGGAGGGAGGGAGGGAGGAAGAGAGGGAGGGGGGGAGGGAGGAAGAGAGGGAGAGGGAGGGAGGAAGAGAGGGAGAGAGGGAGAGAGGGAGGGAGGAAGAGAGGGAGAGGGAGTGAGAATGAGAGAAAGAGAGAAAGAGAGAAAGAGAGTAAGAGAGAGAGAGAGAGAGAGAGAGAGAGAGAGAGAGAGAGAGAGAAAGAGAGAGAGAAAGAGAGAGAGAGAGAGAGAGAGAGAGAGAGAGAGAGAGAGAGAGAGAGAGAGAGAGAGAGAGAGAGAGAGAGAGAGAGAAAAGAGAAAGAAAGACACAGACACAGACACAAATGTTCTGTGCGTGTACATGTGCGTATGTGCGTGGGACGGGATGTTGGCAGGTTGGCAGCGACACGCCCCTATGATGCGGGAAATTCTGACTTTACAACTTCCGGCGCCGCCCCCCCCTTGACCTCTGCTAGCGACATCGACAGTGACTGACCTCTGACCCCACTCTCCCCGCCACAGAATCATTATTTATCAAAAACTAAAGCTCTTTACGTAAAGCGTTTCTATATACAGATAAACATAAACAATGCACACATGAACACACATAGATACACAATCATTCATTCATTCATTCATTCAAACACACACACACACACACACACACACACGCACACACACACGCACACACACACGCACGCAACCCCCTCCCCCTACACAGACGAACTAGAAAAACGTAAAAATAATGATAAACATGATAAGAGCTGCAACATGCTTATAACCTAACACGAAAAGAGATGTTGCAAACCCTGTGGCCTTAGAGTCCAATGTCAACTTCCGGAACATACCTGCAAAGAGAAGAATAAAATGTGGCGTAAGTAAAAATGATGATAATCTAATGACAATTCACAATATATAGATAAAAAAACAGGCGCTAAAGTTGTTTATTACAGAAAAGGATAACGGATACAAAAAACAAAAAATAAATAAATAAATAAAATATATGTGATAAAATATATATATATATATATATATATATATATATATATATATATATATTATATTATATACAATCAGGATTTTCTGGATATGAAATTTTAAACTGATAGTGCAGCTATAAAATGTTTATACAGACAAAATATGTTCCAAGGTAAAAAGGAGAATAATGACAATAATGGATATAATAATAATAACAACAACAACAACAACAACAATAACAATAAAACCAAGTGTCCACTAATGTTGATATATTAATTTTCTACTTATAACCAAATATACTGAAAGACCCGTTGCATAACCGTCAGTATAGAACAATCTCTTCGAAGTATGTATCAGTTGCATTATTCCTACTAGTAAAAGATAACAGATAACAAGCGGAAATCCTCATAAATACGATAAATAATAAAAAGGAAATACCTTCCCCTCCCCGTTCCTCCTCCTTCTCTCCCTCTCTCCCTCCCTCCCTCCTTCCCTTCCTCCCTTCCTCTTTCCAGTCCCTGTCTTCCTTCCTTCCTTCCTTCCTCCCTTCCTCCCTCCTTCCCTTCCTCCAGCCCCTGCCTTCCTTCCTCCCTCCCTCCTTCCCTCCCTCCCTCCA